CTTGTATGTGGCCATCGTGTTGTGTTCTCCATCATCTCTTAATCAGGCAGGCAACTGGTAAGGAAGGAAGGCCTACTTAATCCCGCTTGACCACAAAATACTCAGTCTGGCTGGTAGGCCTGTATTAATCCTGAAGTGACTCTGATCTACCTAGAGTGAAGGGTAGTCCTCCTGATCCTCTTAAGCCTACTTCTACTTCTTTCCACTGGGAGCCGATCCTTTGTTAGTTCTTTCCTTCATTGTTACTTCATTTGCTTGTTTGAACACGGTTTGTCTCCAACACATATTTGTAGTTGTTTCTCTCTGAGTCCTCAGTGTCCTCATACATCTTGGATTGTTGTTGTTTCTTCTCCAAAACCACCCACACAGATAGGATGGGAACAGATCTGATCCCAGCAAAAATCAGCTTGGTTTGCACAGCAGATTTATGTCCCATGCCAAAGGCAAAAGAATGGTTAGAAGAGAGACTTTGTGTCCTTGCTCTTCAGCCAAGTTCCTCCCAGCCTATATGCTCTTCCTGAAGTCAGGAAGTCTAGAATGCTCTGCACTCCAGAGACAGCCCTAAAAAATTATGTTTTGGGTCTTTCGTACCTGAGTTTTAACTGGGTCAATATTAGAGTTAGGACATTTTTTTTTTTTGCAAATGATTTTTTTTTTTTGCAAATGATCTTAACAAGGAAAATCAGATCATAACTGTTTAATACTTGTGACAGGCAATTCTCTAATAAAAAGAAACAAATGTCATGTGTATTCTTAGATAGGTATTTAAGTTGTGCTTTAGCTGAAATATAAATTCATGCAAAAATTATATAAAGCAAAAAACCATTCTCCTTACTGGAGTACTTTAGACAAAGACCTTTTAAGAGCTTTCAATTTAGAGCCAGGTGTTGGTAGCTCATACCTGTAATCCTAGCTGCTCAGGAAGCTGAGATGTGAGGATTGCAGTTCAATGTCAGCCTGGGTAGCAAAGTCCGTGAGACTCTTACCTCCAATTAACCTTCAAAAAGCTAGAAGTGGAGCTGTCACACCAGTGGTGGAGCACCAGCTTTGAATGAAAAAGCTAAGGGACAGTGTTCTGAAGGGTATGGCTCAAGTATTACAACCCTCACCTGGCAAACATTAGACCCTGACTTCAAACCCCAGTACAGCAAAGAGAAAAAAAAATACATCAGCCACGGGTACAAAACAGCTGTACTTACAAATTAATACCTGGAGCCTGTAGAACTCAGAATAAAGTTTGTGACTTTGTTTTGAAGAAAAGAGAAGCAAGGATCATATGCATCCTAAGGCCGAAAAACTTACAGTAGCCTGGAAGCTGTGCTACAGTGTTTGGCCTGCAGATACACTGTTCATGTTGGAGCCATTTCAGAAACAGCTAGAATAACTGTGGGACGAAAACACAGATTGCTTTAAGCATAACACCAGCCACTATAATAATTAGAATCTTCTACCTCAATCTAAAAACTAAACATTTACAAGTGTTTAGGAAGAACCACCACTCACTTGCTCCAATTAGACCAGCAGGGCTGTGTTTAAGACTGGAAATGGGCATTTCAAGGCATCTCACTGGCTCTAACACTACTCACTTTGTCTACAAGCCCAGGACCCAGCCTTAAAAGTAGATTGACAATCTAGGAAGGCACAGGAAGAGCTGCAGCCTGGATTTGGTGCTTTAGAGCAGAAAAGAAGTAAGCTGGGCACTGGCATCTCAGCATAGGGGATTTCTTGACCTTTTCCCATAGGAAATCTGAATGTGGCCTCAAAAATATCCATAAGTTCATGTCTGGAGTGAGAATGATAAAAAGTAAAGCCACAGAAAGGCAAAGAAAGAAAGAAGGTAGGAAGGAAAGAAGGAAGGAAGGAACTGAGGGAGAAAAGGGGAGAAGGAAAAGAAGGAGGAAGGAAGAAAAGGAACAAGAAAGGAAGAGATGAAGAAGGGGAAAAAAGGGAAGGAGAGAAGAAAAGAGGGGTGCAGGGAGGGAGAGAGGGAGGAATGAAGGAAAGAAAGAAGGATGGAAGAGAGGAAAGAAAGGAAGAAGGAAGGAAGGGAGAAGGAGGGAGAGAGAAAGCAGAGAAGGGAGGAAGATAGGAAGAGCCAAGGGAGGAAGGAAAAAATGGAGAATGGAATAAAGGTAATGAAAAAAAATATTCTACAATAGGCCCCGAGAGTTTTCACTGTTTCCACTTGTCAATTTGGTAAAGATGAAAAAGGATAGTGCTTCTTTTCACTTCACTGAAAATGCAGTCACAAGAAAATTCCTCTTTTGTATATTAACTAAAAGAACACACAGATAACCAGTAACCCCCCCCCCCACACTTTTTGTTGTAGTTGCCGGTTGTGGGGTCTGAACTCTGGGCCTGGGCGCTGTCCCTCAGCTCTTCAGCTCAAGGCTAGCGCTCTACCACTAGAGCCACAGTGCCACTTTCAGCTTCCCCCACTTTTTTTTTCCCCAAAGGTCACTACAGCTGAATTTGTGAAGAAACACAGGGGAATAAATCTCATGACTTGCATAGAAGCGAGGAAATGTTGCTGTAGTCCCAGATGTTGGAACAATAGCAAACAATCTAAGCTACGAGTTGAGGGAGGGCAGAAAGTGGGGAGAGAGGGAAGTGAGGTCATTTGAAGAGATAATCCTTGAGATATTTCCCAAGGTGAGGAAGGCAATCTGAGAATACAAGGAGCCAGAAAACTCCCATTCTTGTAAGCCAGAAAACAAAACAAAACAAAACCTATATAGATGAATTTTGGAAGCAGCCAGGGCAAATGGACCAATTAGTAGAAGGAAATAAGGTAAAACACAGCTGATTTAGCATCAGGGAGTAGTCAGGCAAAAACAATAACAAAGTAATGATGACCCCCCCCCCCCCCGCCAAAAGAAGTAAAACCCTAAATTAACAATGTTCTTAAGGTGTTCAAAGTAAGACAAAACAACTTTGCATTTATACCCAGCAAACACAACACCTAAGTATGAAATTAAAGATATATTTTGATAGACTAAATCTGAAGATTTAGAAACTCAAGCATCTGAAGGTATTATAAGAAGTGTTTCACTTATGAGAATTATACTAGAAAAAAGTTCTTCACTATGGGAATTCAGCTAGAAAGAAATCGAGTTTTACAGGAAGGAATGGAATTCCCAGAAATAAATATATTGGTAAGTATAAAGAGACTTTCAAACACCATTTTTAAAAAACTGAGGTTAGAAGAAAAGTATTTTAAACCTGATACAATAAAGAGAATCTAAGCTAACATATTCAAAACTTTAAAAAACAAAAAGCAACTTGTCAGCCACAAATGCTATATCATATACAGCTACATTTTAAGCTAGGTGCTGGTAGCTTATAACTGTTATCCTAACTACTCGAAAGCTGAGATACAGAGAAATCCAAGTTCCAAGTCAAACCAGGGGAAAAAAGTCCTTAAGACTCCACCTCCAAAACAATATGAGTCAAGTACTATAGCACCAGGCCTGAGCAAGCAAGCCAAGTGAGGATGCAAGACCCCAAATTCAAGCCATGGTACACACACACACACACACACACACACACACACACACACACACACACACACACACACACCACAAACACACACACACACACACACACACACACACCACAAACCACCACATTTTAAAAGTAAAGGCAAAACTGAAAAAACACACAGAGAATTTGTTCCTAGCAGTTTTGTCTTACAAGATACATACTAAAGGAAGTTCTTCACCTAGACAGTAACCTGAAACAGCATGGAGGAAATCAGGAGCACAGGTAATAGAAATTAGACACATTTCTTCTTTCTTCTCATAAATTATTTAGAAGCAATTGCAGAAAACTATATACACATGCCCCCTGTGTCCATGAGGTCTGCTTCCACGTACAAAACCAACTGCAAATTGAAAATACTTAGAAAAAAATGGCTGTTGCATCTGTACTGAACATATACAAATCTTTTCCTTGTTAATTATTCCCTAAACTATACAGTATAACAACTTTTTACATAGCATCTAGATTTCATTAGGTATTATATATAATCTAAAGACGTTTTAAAAGTATGGGAGGATGTTAGTAGATTTCTATGCCAATAGTACATACATCATTTCACAAATTCTCTGTCGTTTTGTTTACAACTAAAGGACTGGAAGAGGAAATATAAATGTTTTGAGAAAGAAAGCATTTCATTGTAAAAAAGAAAATCTCCAGGTTGTTATTTATTTATTTCCCATTTGTTTGTTTTGTTTAGCAGAACTGGGGTTTGAACTCTGGGCTTTGTGCCTGTGGTGCAGATGCTGTACTGCCTCAGCCATGCCCCCATCCTATTTTTTTGCTCATTATTTTTGAAATAGGGTCTTACTTTAGCCTGGGCTGGCCTCCTCCTATTTTACCCTTCTTGCCAAGTCAGAATGACAAACCTGTCCCACCACGCTCAGCTTTATATATTGAGATAGGGCCTACTGAACTTCATCACCTAGTCTTCCTGTTCTCATGCTCTCCTGTCGCTGGGATGACAGGCCCACACCACTACACCCAGTAAATGGTTGTGAGGAGGTCTCTCAAACTTTTTGCCTGGGCTGGCCTCAAACAGCAATCCTCTTAAATATATCAGCCTCAAGTAGCTCATTACAGGCATGAGCTACCAACATCCTCTAAGCTGTTATGTATTTGTGTTTCTTTTTGTTGGTCACAAGGCTTGAACTCAGGTCCTGGGCATTGTCCTTGAGCTTTTCTGCTCAAGGCTAGTGCTCTACCACTTTGAACCACAGCTGATTGTCTAGTGGTTCATTGAAGATAAGTGTCTCACAGACTTTCCTGCCCGGTCTAACTTTGACCTGTGAACCTCAGATCTCAGCCTCCTGAGTAAGCTAGGATTACAGGCATGAGCCACCCATGCCCGGCTTTAAGCTGTTTTATTATTATTAAAAATTTCCCATGAGTGCACGTGTACGTGCGCACGTGCGCGCACCCACACCCACACACACACACACACACACACACACAGGGCTCACCTGTTTTTGCATCTTTCCAGTCATCTGAAAGAATGGTCTTTGTCTGGATAGTGTACTTAGAGATAGGACTGTGATTGTCTGAACCACGGCTCCAAGTAAGTGCCACAGAAGTGGCTCTGATGTCTTCTATTCTCAGACCACCTGGGGGACCTGGGGGACCTGGAATGAAAATTTAGGTAATGAATCAATAAATCTCATCTAGTACATTGTATACAATTACATGTCTCCACTTGCAATTAATTCAACCAACATTTGTACACCATACTGAATGTTGCTGCATTTCCATTAAGTAGGGGCTATTAGAAGTGATAATAAGCTGGACACCAGTGGCTCACTCCTGTAATCCTAGCTATCCAGGAGGCTGAGATCTGAAGATCACAGTTCGAAGCCAGACTGGGCAGGAAATTCCATGAGATTCTTATCTGCAAATAAGCACCCACAAAAGCTAGAAGAAGAGCCGTGATTCAAAGTGGTAGGTCACTAGCCTTAAACAGAAAAGCTCAGGGATAGTGCCTAGGCCCCAAGTTCCAGCTCCAGGACTGGTATACACACACACACACACACACACACACACACACAAAGTGATGATAATATCATTTGGAGGTTCCACTGAGTTATAAAGAAGGAGATAAATATTGTTGTTAAAAAACAGCATTTTAGTTTGGGATACACATGATATTCTCTGAATCAAAAAATGCACCAAAGCCTAACACAGATGGTAGCATAGTGAGATTTAAAGAACACTTGATGGATGTCATGAGTCAAATTTAGTCAAGGGATGAGAACACTTGGTCAAAAGTTCCATTCTATGCCCCCCCCCAATAAAATCAATACTTTCTTAAAACCTTTAATGCGATATATAAAATGTTAACCCTAATGATAATGTAGGTAATGTATTTTACTTAGAACAGAAATTTCTGGGCACCATTTTATGGATCCTTTGGGGTAGTAAAATTCCATATTACTTTAAAGCAATAAATACAACATGAAAATAAATGCTTGCATTTATATAACATGTAGAAAATGATGGTCAACTCAGAGATTAAACCACAAATGCTCTGTTTAACCTTGGTAAGCTTCTTAAATATATTAAGCACTTGCTTTCTCATTTGTAAAATAGGTGTGGTGCAAATTGATCTATCTGGGCCGTTACTGGGATGAAAATAACATCATTAAAGAATGGAGTGTTAAAGCTGCATATAGAAAGCCCTAGGTAAATTTTACCAATTGATATTACTGTTATTCTCCTATAAGAACTTTCATGATTTTCTATTAGATGACTTGCTTAGCTTGAATGACTTTCTGCCCATGTGGGCTTTGGTTTTTCTCAACAGCAGAGGAAATATCCATGCATTTGTAATTTCCTGTGACTAGACCCAAGTAGGAAAGGTGTTTATAGATCCACAAATATAGCATCACTAGCTAATAACACAAGACACACCCACTGATGGTAGTAGATTTTATTATTTGGAAATATTTCCCTATGAACCCAGGAGAGCTAAATAAACTTGTAGAGTCATCATCTCTAACAAAGTACTTATACTTCGAGGTTAAGTAAACATAGACACATAAATAACAGTACATCTCATCTTCAGAGAATATATTTCATTTTTTCAAGTGCAAATAACCACATTGAAATACAATGTAGATTGTTCATCAGAAATAAGAAGTTCATCACTTACAGCAAATATCCTCCTAAGCCAAATACTGAGTATACTATTACAATATTAGAATGAAAATTAGTGTTAACAAGTAAACGAAACAATGTTACAGAGAAGACAAACTCCCATAATACATGCATTCAGATACTTTTCTGCACATGGAGATGTGACATTCAGACAAGTGAAAGAGAATTTAAAACAGATTGCTATAGATTAGTCTTTAACCACCCAAGGTTATGTCATTTCCTGCAGTTACTCTCTGAAGAGTTTCAAATGATTATTACACAATGATCAGATATTTTTAGTGTACTTGTTGCTTATGTTTAATGTCTTCATTTGTTTGGGACATCGTAAACATAACTGGTTTATTCAGTAGTTCACTCTTTGATGTGTATTGCCATTGAGCATAATTCTATAATTACATTTGCCTTTTTTGTTCTCTGATGTTTTGGCTATACTGTTTGCTTTGCTTGTTGTCTTTGTTATCCTAGCATTGGGGCTTGAACTGGGACCTTAAGCACTCTCATTCAGCTTTCTGTCTCATGGCTGGTGCTTCACACTTGAGCCATACCCCCAGTCCTTAGAGTGAGTTCTTAAGAAATATTTGCTGAGTGATCTTCAGTAGCTTCTATCCATGAGACGGTGATCTATAATTCATTTTCCCCCTTGCCTGGAAATCTTTCATTGTCAGAGAAGGTAGAGTGGAGGAGCCAATATGAAAAGAGGTTGATTAGTGTCTGTTAAAACCATTGTGTGGCAAGATTGGTGATGTTTCAGCTGGTGCCAATTTTTTTTTCCCCATCCAGTAGTCACTTGTCTGCAAATACCTCACAGAAAATAGCTAAGAAAAAAATATAATGTCGAAAAAGTAGGACATAAGTAGAGCATTTAAAATCACTTTGGCTCTAAATGCTGCATGCGCACTGATCTTGATCAAGCTTCTTAAATTTATAGGCTCTCGTTTTCTCTTTTGTAGAATAGGAATGATGTAAATGGATCTTACTGGGTTATTGTTAGGATAAAAATAACTGAGTGTCAGGCCTGCTCATAGAAAGCTCGAGTGAACTTTAGCTATTAACAGTATTATGATTATCATTATTGTTGTTATTATTATGACTACTATTATTAGGACTACTAATATTATTTCTTGTCCTGGGGCTTGGACTCAGGGTCTGGGAGCTCTTACTGAGCTTTTTATTGTTGTTCAAGGCTAGCACTCTACCCCTTGAGCCACAGTTCCACTTACAGCTTGGCTTTTTTTTGCGGGGGGGGGGGGGGGGGGGATTAATTGGCAATAAGAGTCTCACAGACTTTCTTATCCAAGTTGGTTTTGAACTGTGATCCTCAGATTTCAGCCTCTTAAGTAGTTAAGATGACAGGCTTGACACTGGCATCTGGAGCTATTAACAATATTATTGTTATTCTTCTATAAGAATTTTCTAGGTGTGTCAGCTCCCTCACTATTAGTACTGATCAAAACTTACCAGGGATTTGCTTATCAAACTACTCTATGACTCTTTTATCACTTGAAAGGAAGTAATCTTGGGAAATGAAGTGTTTTCTGTCAAATTTCATGGAGAAGAGAAAAAGTCCAGAATATGAGGTCCTCTCCTGTATACAAAGATTCATAGTGGCAAAAATAAAACACTGCTCTCACAGAGCCAAGCTGGTCTGAGTTGAGCCCAGGCTAGTGCCTCCGTGTCTTCCAGAAGAAGACCAGCTCATGTAACTTGCTCAACTCTTAATTCAGAATGTAGGGAAATGTTTTGTGGTAGAAAATAAAATAATGAAAACCAGGTACCGGTGGTTAACACCTGTAATTCTATTTGTTCAAGCAGCTGAGACTTGGAGCACTGCAGTTTGAAGCTAACCTAGGAAGCAGTCTGTGAGACTCCATCTCTAATTAACCAGCAAAAAGCAGGACTGGGGACATGGCTCAAGTGGTAGAGTACCAGCTGTGAGCAGGAAAGATGAGTGAGAACACAAAGTCTTGAGTTCAATGCATGGTATCATCTGTCAATAATGATGATGATGATGATAATAATAATATATAATTCTGAATTCATTAATGTTAATCTTTTCTGAATTATTATTTTATTATTATTTTTAAAGAAAACCTATTTATTAATGAAATTAAAATATAATGTCTACTCAGTTCGTCATTTTGTATTAAGTAACTAAAAAAGTAATTAGGCTGGGTGCCAGTGGCTCATGTCAGTAATACAAGATAATAAGGAGGCTGAGATCTGAGGATCACAGTTCAAATCCAGCCCAAGCAAGAAAGTCTATGAAACTCTTATCTCCAATTAACCTCCAAAAAGCCAGAAGTGGATCTGTGGCCTAAGTGGAAGAGTGCTAGTCTTCAGGGAAAAACAAAGAGACAGCACTGAGGCACTGAGTTCAAGTGTAGTACTGGCAAACATGTACAAACACACATACACACATTAGAAAAAAAAATGTTTGGGACTCTCAGAAATACCATTACTTTTCAACTTGGCCATTTTTCTTTAGAAATATTGAAGCAGTCAATGAAGAGGACTTCATAGACTTGGGAGAAAACAGTAAAAAAAAGTCTTTTCCAAATGATTGATCACACACTGTAAGCTGGCCTTTTTTTCGTGATCAACAATGAAGACTCATGTTTTCAGTAATTCAGAGGGAAGAGCGGATTTGAATTTCAGACCTTCCAAGTGTGAACACAATGAAGACAAGTTGTAAGTAACACCTGGCATCTTTTAAGTGAATGATATTACTTATTGGTAGCCCTGATTTGAATGTTCTCTTCCTCTAAACAGCTATATCTGGAATTCTCAACAATCATTGATGGAAAAGATCCCTTTAAACCACTAGTCTTTTGGGGACAACCCTCCACCTTTTATTTTATTTTATTTTTTGTGCCAGTCTTGGGGCTTGAATTCTGAGCTTGGTGGCTGAACCTGAGCTTTTGTGCTCAAGGCTAGATTTCTCCTAATTGAGCCACAGCTCTACTTCCAACTTTTGGTGGCCAATTGGAGATAAGAATCTCATGATTTTCCTTCCCAGTCTGGATTTGGACCTCCATCCTCAGATCTCAGTCTCCTGAGTAGCAAGGATTACAGGTGTGAGCCACAAATGCCTGGCCATATTCCACTCTCCATACAAGAATTGTGGATCATAAACTGGTGCTAAAACCAGGCTTTCTTTTAATTACTTCCTGAAGAGTTACCAATGGAAAAAGAGAATTGACAGTAGTTTTAGCATAGTGCTTTTCTTTTAATTACTTCCTAAAGCATTACGAATGGAAAAAGAGAATTGACATAGTTCATGATTTATTGTTCATTTTTACTAAAGTGGGTGATCATTCCTTCTGTGGTTTTGTGGTCCCTTTTCCAAAATAAGACAATTAAAGTCTCTTTATTACAGTAGACCAGCTCTTGCCATAAACGTTGGTTAAAACAATGGTTCTATGATCAGCTATACAATGCAGATCCATGTTGTATTATCTTATTGTTTGATTTT